ATGTAGCTTGCAGACCAGCACAATCGGCAAACGACGACTGTGTGGCGGAGGCTGGACTTGGTACTCGAGACAAGTACGCCGAATTTTATCAATTGACAAAACGACCTCTTAATACAAGTGTCACTTGAGAATATTGAAAGTGGCCATTCTCTTATCAATTATGTGGGTCAATAGTCCATCATTCTGGCATTGAGAAGATATGTCCACTACGTTTTTGCAGCGATATATAACCTGTCTGTCCGTCCGTCCACTACAACGAGAAAATACGCATCTGTCCTCCCGTCCACTTCAGCGTGATATAACCAGTCTGTCCTTCCGTTCACTACAGCGACGGATAACCAGTCTGTTGTGGGAACCCCCTACAGAATTGGGGATTTGCTTTGGTGTCCTCTATTTGGGGTCACAAAAGCGACCAAAATAAATCTGCTGCGCCCATTCAACATTTGGTATCTACCTTTTATTTCCTAGCTCATTGCTTGGCAACACCTCACGTTTGGCTTGAATGTTGAGCATTCGCCCAGATGAGGAAGGCAATGGGTTCTGTCCCCAGACCGGGACATACCAAAGTCCTTAAAAATGGTAGTTGTTATTCCCTGCTTAACGTTCAGCCTTTAGGGGAATGGTAACAACTGGTTCACCCGTTGTCAGTATAATGTGATCGGGCGGAAGCTGTGATTGGTGCATTCGTCAGGGTATTTCAGTGAGATAGCACTATAAAGTCGGCATCAGATCTGTGCTATCACAAGAAGGCAAGCACACCAACATACCCCATCTCCTGCATACACAAACGCAAGCACGCATACACTACACACATGGAGGCACGTCCTTTAATGACCTTAGCTGGTAATAGGACGTTAAACAAAATTGAAATCCCGTCCATCTCAGCGAGGAGTAAGTAACCAGTTTGTCCTCCCGTCCATTGATAGGGTACAGCCAGTCTGTCCTCTCGTCCACTACAGCGAGGAATAACCAGTATGTCCTCCTGTCCAATACAGCGAGGTATAACAAGTATGTCCCCCGTCCACTACAGCTAGGAATAACACGTCTTTCCCCCGTCCACTACAGCGAGGAGTAACCAGTCTTTCATCCCGTCAACTACAGCCAGGAATGAACAGTTTTGTCCTCTTGTCCACTAAAGCGATAAAAACAAGTATGTCGTCGACTACAGCGAGGATGAGTCTGTCTGTCATCCCGTCAACTACAGCAAGAAACAGCTAGGAAAAGCCAGTCTGTCCTGCCGTTCATTACAACGAGAAATAACCTGTTTGTCCTACCGTCCACTACAGCGAGGAATAGCCAGTCTGTCTCCCGTCCAATACAGCTAGGAATAACAAGTATGTCCCCCCGTCCAATACAGCGAGGAATAACAAGTATGTCCTCCCGTCCACTACAGCGAGGAGTAACAAGTCTGTTTCCCGTCCAATACAGCAAGGAATAACAAGTATGTCCTCCCGTCCACTACAGCGAGGAGTAACAAGTATGTCCTCCCGTCCACTACAGCGAGGAATAACAAGTATGTCCTCCCGTCCACTACAGCGAGGAATAACAAGTATGTCCTCCCGTCCACTACAGCGANGCCAGTCCGTCTCCCGTCCAATACAGCGAGGAATAACAAGTATGTCCTCCCGTTCACTACAGCGAGGTATAACAAGTATGTCCTCCCGTCCACTACAGCGGGGAATAACAAGTATGTCCTCCCGTCCCCTACAGCGAGGAATAGCCAGTCCGTCTCCCGTCCAATACAGCGAGGAATAATAAGTATGTCCTCCCGTCCACTACAGCGAGGAATAGCCAGTCCGTCCCCCGTCCAATACAGCGAGGAATAACAAGTTTGTCCTCCCGTCCACTACAGCGAGGAGTAACAAGTCTGTTTCCCGTCCAATACAGCAAGGAATAACAAGTATGTCCTCCCGTCCGCTACAGCGAGGAATAACAAATATGTCTTCCCGTCCACTACAACAATGCAATGAATAACAAGTCTGTCCCCGTCCACTAAAACAATGAATCACCAGTCTGTCCTCCCGTCAACTACATCGAGGAATAACACGTATGTCCTCCCGTCCGCTACAGCGAGGAATAACAAATATGTCTTCCCGTCCACTACAACAATGCAATGAATAACAAGTCTGTCCCAGTCCACTAAAACAATGAATAACCAGTCTGTCCTCCAGTCCACTACATTGAGGAATAACACGTATGCCCTCCCGTCCACTACAGCGAGGAGTAACAAGTCTGTTTCCCGTCCAATACAGCAAGGAATAACAAGTATGTCCTCCCGTCCCCTACAGCGAGGAATAGCCAGTCCGTCTCCCGTCCAATACAGCGAGGAATAACAAGTTTGTCCTCCCGTCCACTACAGCGAGGTATAACAAGTATGTCCCCCCGTCCACTACAGCCAGGAATAACAAGTATGTCCTCCCGTTCACTACAGCGAGGTATAACAAGTATGTCCTCCCGTCCACTACAACAATGAATAACCAGTCTGTCCTCCCGTCCACTACATTGAGGAATAACACGTATGTCCTCCCGTCCACTACAGCGAGGAATAACAAGTATGTCCTCCCGTCCACTACAGCGAGGAATAACAAGTATGTCCTCCCGTCCACTACAGCGAGGAATAACAAGTATGTCCTCCCGTCCACTACAGCGAGGAATAACAAGTCTGTCATCTCGTCTACTACAGCGAGGAATAACAAGTCTGTCCTCCCGTCCACTACAGCGAGGAATAACAAGTCTGTCCTCCACTCCACTACAGCAAGGAATAACAAGTATGTCCCCCGTCCACTACAGCAAGGAATAACAAGTATGTCCCCCCGTCCACTACAGCGAGGAATAACAAGTATGTCCTCCCGTCCACTGCCACAATGCAATGAATATTAAGCCTGCCCCTGTCCACTACAACAATGAATAACAAGTATGTCCTCCCGTCCACTACAGCGAGGAATAACAAGAATGTCCTCCCGACCACTACAGCGAGGAGTAACAAGAATGTCCTCCCGACCACTACAGCGAGGAATAACAAGCATGTCCTCCCGTCCAATACAGCAAGGAATAACAAGTATATCCTCCCGTCCACTACAATAATGCGATGAACAACCAGTCCGTCCTCCCATCCACCGCAGTGTCTTGAATGTGTTTTCAGCATTTATCAGCAATCACTTAAATTGTAATCGTAAAGAACCGGTGATAGAATATCAAAATTGTTTGCCAAATTGCATTGACATGAATTAAGTAACAATCTAGCTGTAGCGAACCTTGTTTTCTACTAATAATGCACAGGTTTGAACCACGATTAATTTTATTTTCTAACAAATGTCTGTTTCAAATAATTAATTACAAAAGCTGTTTGGTTACGGAAGAAAACACATGCAATTTTAAAGCATACAATTCCTGACCGTGCTTCGGAAATGAAGGGTTTTATGTGTATAGACAGAGGAAGTATTGGATGTCGACAACAAACATGTGCTTTCCCTTTCATTTGTTTACCGTAGTTTCCTATCGTCGTGTATCTAGATCCCAGTATAGTAATGATCCTGTTATCATCCACCTTACGACACGCTTGCAGGTGTTGTTATTCATGGAGAAACACTATATATAACTCGTCAAATATCGATGGTCACGACCCAATACTTTATCAAGATTTCAGCAGGTGCCGACAGTTATTTGACGTTTTATCAGACAGTTACTTTGAGGTGCCTGTCTGTAGATTGGTCATGGTGACTTGGACCGTGTCCTAGAGGTAGAAATACGTGAGAACCAGTTATGTGGTCATTGTCCATGTTCTGGAATTCTCCCACCGGCAAGTTATTTACACTTTCGTTAGCATTTCATGTGTTCCTGTATTACCGTGGACCCGAGTCTGTTAACGTATAGCTGTGCAGACGTACAAGATTCCATTTATCTAGTGTAACAGATCTACATGACATTATTGTTTCAAAGGCAGCTAGTGTTTTTCCAGGGTGACATCTAGGATAATTTGTTCATTTCAACATTCTCAGGTTGGGTTTTCAAGATTTGCGATGAAGTTAAAGAATCTGTATAAAGATATTATCACATATCCAAAATATTCGTCTAAACGAACCATAACAGACAAAAAATAAATAACTTGAGACCGATAAATTGTAAACAAACCTTTTTTGAGAGGTGAATATTTGGCCCTGAAGCGTCAAAAATATATTATACAAAAATGGCTGTGACTTTATACATCATTGTAAGTTATTTTGTATCTCAATTATAGAAATGAATACAAACGTCTTAATATGCTGAAGAATCTATTTCAACATTTACTGTATACACAGAAAATACGAGCCTATACCATAAGACCAGCAGAATGTCGGTATATGTGTATGTGAAAACCAAGACGAGCTACATCTCCCAAACCAGTGCGTGCACATATCTTATTCATGTATTGACAGTAACGTTAGTTTGCATGGTTCGAATTAGCGGTGTCGGCAAATCGATCGATCGTCCCCGAACTAAACCCACACCACACAGCGGTCTGCGTACTCACACGCTCAATGAACAATTTTAATCTTCATTTTTTTTTTAACAAAGACAAAGAACAGAATCCTCAGAGAGTCTGGTCGATATATCTGGACGTCCATACCATAAAGTCGGGTTACTGTAGGCGCAATCGAAAGGAAAATTCATATTTATTCCGGGTATCCTTACAGGACTTCATCAGATGGAATATTCGGAGAAAATGTCGATTTGGAAAATGTCGATTTGTCTTGGCATATGATGAATTTGAAATGTCGATTTAAGCAGTTTCATTTCCTTCGATTTTAATTGTTTTCGCCCCTTTACATTTTATCTTTAATTCTATTTTTCAAAATGGTAAGATGGGGAGGAGTAGCGAGCCTATACTCTTCCTGTCTACATTGGCCCATCAAACGGGGGGTAAACGAATCAATTACCCCCCCCCCCCCCCCCCCCCCCCCNGTACAGTCGTACTTTTCTACTCAAATGTATTATTTTGTTCTGAATTTCAAATAACAATATTTATCCAAAGTAGGTTTATTTTTATAAGAATTTTTTTTATTACAAAAGATTTGTATTTGATTATAAAGCGCTTCATCTTATTCATCAGTAACATAATTTATACTAGCAAGCCTCATCCACCATCTACATTCGCCTTCCACCCACATCCGACCTCAGCATACTCAGTCTCGCGTACACAATATGTCAGCCTTTATACAACATCATAAGTTGCCAATCCTTCCTTTCTAATGTGAAAGCGGGTTAATCCCAGATGTATGGCGTGACCTCGCGTGACCTACACTGTATTCTATACACGGATATAATCATAGTAGTGTTGTCTTCTCTTTTGGCATTATAAAAGGAAACTGTTGGCCAAACCGGAAGTCGTGATCCCAAACCAGCATTATACCAGGAAGTCCTGTATGGAAAAGCACTGGACCTGTTCTAAAAACACACAGGATCGGACAGTATATAATATCAACATCCTGATTGGTCCATAACACGATCGTGTGTCATCATTGGTCCATTTTGACAAAGTAAAATCTATAAATAATATCCACCTCCTGATTGGTCCATTGCAATAATCGGAATGTTAACATAGGCCAAACATTCCTGTTTTTGTCTGAATTATCGTAGCATTTTCTGTTGTGGACATATCATAAGACTGTAAATGACCAGTATAATTGGCCTGTTTTTAATTTAGAACTCCCAGTATGTATCCGGTCCCACTTCCTCTGCGACAACCCGGAAGTTGCCGTTTTGCTCCCCTTTGAGATAACGTCCATTGGGCCCCTTGATGGTGACGATCGTCTGTTTGAGGAATTCTATAGTGAAGGGAGTAGGTGTGTCTCCATCAGGGCTGATGTGACTGTCTTCGGAAATACTCCAGTATTTACCTTTTGAATCTGAAGTGTAAGGAAATAGACATTAGTTTTAAATGTTAAACTACGGTCAATTTTAATTTCACCATACATACATAATTGTTTTGTGTTTTTTCTGTGTCTCGATAAAGATAGGTCCGAAAATTTGACATCATCCTTGCCCCGTATTATATAATCATATGACAAGTGACTTTTCGTTAACCTTGCATGAACCTCGAGCATCTGTATCTGGCCAATAGATTGAAATAGTCTTACCTTACTACATGTATATAGTAGGGAAGGCTAAGACTCCATGCCTGTGCATGAACCAGTGAAATGTCAACTTTGTTTGGCAATTGTGTGGAAATTGATACACACAAATAATGTTTAACAGGTTAAAACGAGGCTCACTGTTCAAATTAATACAATAATGTTAATACTCTAGACGGTACCCGTGGTTTCCCGTGGTACCGGAGTTTTCCAAATACCGCTGTGTACTAATATGTTATTTCTTTTCAAAACACTCGATGGATATTGGAAGAGCAAAAAGAAATGTACATCTCATTAGCATGAAACAAGACCTCCAAGCTCACCTTCGTCTGCTATTCATTAGTTCTATCCAATGTTGATTTCACTTTGTTCTTTTCTCTTAACCTGGCATTGACAGCCATGTAAGTTAACAGTCAATATTATATGAGGTAGCTTTCGGCCGAAAATTCCTACTGCCGTGTTCGACAAAGTCCTTTCTAAATTAAACAACTATAGCATAGCAACATGTCAAAAATAGGAAAGATTCCTGTTTTCTGGCAGCTTCTATTTCTTCTGATCAAACCCAAATTTCAGATGAAACAGGAAAACCTATTGAACAGTAATGTTAGAAATAGCCATAATAACCTTTGATCGTCAGAGTCCAAGATGGTAGCATGATAGTCCAAACGAACTACGGACACTGGGGAACCTACATATATAGAATGATCTAATCTGTATATCTTGAGAAATGTTTGTAACAAGAATTACTCAAGAAAGAACAATGGACGAAATGTGAACAGTCTACAGATAAAATAACAAAAGCCACCGACATAGAAGGCCATACCTTTCATTGCGTATGTACCATCGTTGCTTCCTTCCAGGAACAAGATGGTGGCGCTGGCTTTATTACAGACTAACTCGCTAGAGGTTGAAGACTTTGGTCCAACGAAGCCGTGCTGACACCTGAGAATAAGCTGAGGCCTGTTGGTGATTTTAACCTTGTACCTCTCCTTTTCCTCCAGGGCGTCTGCCGTGGCTGCCATGGCCCCCGTTGACTTGTGCGACACATATTTGCCGTTGTGAGCTTTAATCCCCACGGTTCCATCTCCTTGCCACTCAATGTCAAACAATGAGGTGTCTTTTCTGCAATGAGAAACAAACGATTTATGAATGGTCCTCTGCTTGAATATTAGTTGACTATCCATGAATACAAGATGACGTATCACAATATATTGTGGACACCGTCCTCAAAAAGGATATATAGCAAGGAGACAGAAATAAAAATCGTTAAAATAAAACTATTGGCTTACATTTCCTTGCTGTTGGCCTGAATGCCAGATCCTGGGTTAACCACTGCCCAGTACGTTGCCTTGCAAGTCCGGATCGCCCACTTGTTCAGCTCGGGGAGGTACTCTGTTTGGAATGTTTCCGTTTCACTCTCCTCCGTCTGGTTCGCCGATATATCCACACCTATAAAAAAAAAAGAGAGGGAAAACTGTAGCCGATTATATGTAATCCACGCATAGAACGAACAGGCACGTAGCTGTTACGAACGGACATGTTTCCATCCACATAAAATGTTACGGACAGACGTGTTTCTACGTATGTAACAGTGGTTTCTCCCCCTCGGTCGTACGCTTCTACATGATTGTATATTAGCACGTACATGGTAATACATGTAACTTTGCTGTTAGGCTTGAGTCTCATTACATCTCGTGGCATATTACTGGCCCTGTCGTTTGCACTTTCTCCTACCCAGACGGGACACGCACATGCGTACCAAGTGAGCCGTAAAACCTCCGAAAAGTAAATTGTATTGGCGTACCTGGATTATGGATGTCTATGCATGCCTATCACATTTATGCTCGAGATTCTTTATCTAATTCAGAAGTTTATACTTACATCCGGGAATCTATATTCACACCCGGAAGTTCATTTTTGGTTTGTGTTGAGATTTGTTGAAAATGGTAATCATTATACCGGTCCACGTAAGTTTTACCGTTAGGAATAGTTTCAGCATACATTTGTCATTTGTTAACATATGGTCTGAGTTGCAAGATAATTATGATTTGTTCGGCTCAGCCCGAGGAAGAATCATCGGGCGATTTTCTATTGTAGCAGTTGCAAGGTATTTGTCAATTCAAGAGTCAGACTGTTTGCTAAAGTTTTACGTCCTATTAACAGTTATGGCCATTTAAGGACGTATCAGGTGTTGGTGGTGGAGGTAAACCCGGGGGGAAAACACTAACCAGCGGCCAGTATCTGGCGACTGCCCCACACAGGCCTCGAACCCACGACCCAATGGTGAAGGGCTAGTGATACGCCTTAGCCACTCAACCACCGCGGCCCCAGACAAACAGGGACGCATACTTGCTAAAAGTGGGGGCGCTAAAATAACCATCCCCATTAAAATTTTGCACAGAACCCGATCTTGCTGCAAGGTCAATATGAAATACTCGCTATGATTTTGCTGATCAACATTACGTCTGCTACCAATACTCAATCAGCGCGCGTGCTGTCCTGTCTTTGATCGATACGTCACCACGATATGGACCCCTATGTACACATAATGTGTAAGGGCCACACTTGTGTTGGAGAGAAACGACTGGCCATATAATCATTTTGCATTACCAACAAGCACGCGCACAAGTGTAATGTCTACAGATATCGTTGTTCTACAGTAAAAATCAAACACATTACCAACCGATAATGGAGGGTATAGCTTAACGCCGTCACATCAAAATTCAACATCTCGTCAGGACGCATGTGCATGACGGATGAAACGCATTCTAACTTAAAACACTATTACAAATCTTTAAGCCGAATTCACATTTAGCATTAAGTAATCCCGTATAAAGGTTGAATCAACTACATGTGGTTTAATCGCAATTCAACGTGTCGACGTGTATTATTTGAAGAATCATTTTTGTGAACGAATTGTGTGTCCATTGAAGTCGTGATTCAGAGTAGAAGGGCACATATGTAGCGTGGTTTTGGTGCATCTGTACTCCAAGTATGCCAAAAAATGCACATGTAATACTTATTTGTCTTTTACTAAACCCCATACTCCATTTGTTCCTCGGGGTAGGATTGACAAGTGAGTCATACACCCCGCTGACGGTAGCTGTATTCGTAGGGTCGGCGCGTCACTAACCACCATCCCAACCAATGGTGCGTGTACGTAGCACTTGACAGCATCACAGTTTAGGACTGGTACAGGTGTGGAAAGTGTTACACGAGTACGGCGTGAACAATAACATGTAACATGTAGTATCACTGTTTAAGACTGGTACAGGTATGGACAATTTTACACAAGAACGGCGTGCAACACTTTATGTTAAGTATCACTGTTTAAGACTGGTACAGGTATGGAAATTTACACGAGAACCGCGTGTACATGCAACAGTTTAATACGGCGTGTAACACTATGTAGTATCACTTTTTAAGACTGGTACAGGTATGGACACGAGAACGGCGTGCAACACTTTATGTAGTATCACTGTTTAAGCACCTGGTTTAAGACTGGTACAGGTGTGAACTGTGTTGCAGGAGTACTGCGAGAACACTTTATGTAGCATCGCTGGTTAACACGGGTATTAACAGTGTACCGTGAGCATCACAAAGAAATGGTGCATGTACGCCATTCGCAAGCAACACTTGGATTGCAATTGTACATAAAAAACAAGACAACTATAATTCGTATGACCGGTACAGACATCAACGCCGACATCCCTAGATACGATTTACACGGATCACTTGATGGGTCAAAATTGTGTCTATTCCAAGTCATATGAAACGAGCTTTGCTTTTCTAAAGATTTTTTTCAACTATGTCACTGGCGAAACGAAGTGATATTGACAGGGAACTGCGTGTTCATCTCGGTGAGATCGAGGTCATATCCCAGAGAAAATTCAAACTGGCGGTGGAATAAGGTGTAGGCACAGCACAAGAAACTACGTTAATTTAATATACTAAAGAGTCGCCATTTTGTGCAAGAGAAGCGAACACACAGCTTATCTAGTCCAATTAGTGAGTATATCAATCCTTGATTGAAGGACAAATATCAGGTGACATTAAGCATCATATGGTACAATCAAGTTCAAGTTCAAGACAATACAAGTAAAAACACACTCCATTATAATGGTGCATGCATTTGTGCACCCTCACAATATAATGCATGTCATTTTGTTTACCAATTTAACAATCAAAACAGGAAAATATATGAGTAAAATTGTAACTGCGAACGTCATGTGATTTTTGCCCTTTTTTTTTTTGATAAAAAAAATATTGACGATGTATACCTTGTTTAATGGAGGCCATCTTGCCTGCTTCTGATATGAAAAGGACTTGGGGATGACTGTCCTCTATACTAAAAAGCTCGTCCTTGGTCACCGTCATATTCCGGGCCTTCATGGTCGCCGTAGATCCTATGGATGTAAGGTAACGCTGTTCGCAGTCCTTGAACGCTAAACCTGCGTCCTTTCCCGAACGGATTTCTAACGTGAACTTTGTTTCCGCCGAATCATCCGTACAATCAGTAGATAAGGTTCCGTCACAATTTAGGTACCGGTCGTCACTCGTTTTCAGGGCATATTTGCCTTTATGGAATTCCAAAATGATCAGTGCCTCAGCACCCCAGGGGATGACTTCTGTACATTGCAGCTCGTCGTTGCAGAGATGAGCATACCGTTTACGGTTGATGTTCCGAATATTCACTTGGGGATGGATCGACAATTGAACTGTCCAGTACTCCATTTCAGCGGGTTTGCCTTTTTGGAAACATGTCACTTCATCCTTAGGCGCGGTACCGAGAAGGGTACCGTAGTTTACATTACGGAACGCCCAAAGACCGGAGTACTTGTCACCGCCGTACTCGACCCTGAACTTGCAATCATCACCTTTCTCTGTCAGCTTAACATTTCCATACTTGTCGGAGGATACATAGGTATCCTCTGTCTGTGGGCTTCGGAGATAAATATCTCCTTCATTAGCTTTGTCGTCACTATTCCGGTCGTGTTCTAAGGTCCAAACTTGTTTTTTCTTCAGAGCTGTACCGGTAATATTTAATTTACCAAAACTCTCAGCAGTTAGATATTTTGTTTTGCAATTTAACAAGCCAACTTTCCATGAAAATTCCAAAACACTGTCCTTACTGTGACCGTTACATCCGTTAGTCTGCGACATTGTTGTATAGGGGTATATAATCCAGTATGTGAGACAGCGACAAAACACGACTTACTGCACACGCCGCACAAATAGCACTACCAGCCGCTAGTGCCTGCTTCCGTACGTACGACTCTCCGCGCAGCTTGTCTTGTGCTGTCTGATAGCAGCGCAAGTGTGTGCCGCGCCTCTATATTGTAGTATTCTGTGAAAATCACTCTAGTGATTGGTCAATGGCTTGCAACGCTTCAGTTATTTCACATGCACGAACCAAATAGTATACACAGCATGTTCAGCCAAGCGTTGAAAAGCCCATTCAGTGAAAACTCAATAAACAAACGAATAACAGTCGGGTAATTATATAAGTAATGGCGATCAAGTAAGTGTTTAATGTGTGCCTTACAAACATTGACAGAGTCACAATGAACATCACACACGTCCACACAATTCCCAAATGAAAATATAAATACAAGAAATTATTAGAGGTGGCTACGTAGGATCCAAAGAGAAAGAGCAGACGGATTAGTGTAAGCAGTTTGTTTCCGAATCCTGCTTGTATGTTTTCGAATTTGTGAAACTATAATATTAAACAGCAAACATGTAAACTTACAAGTCTTTTTTTCCACCGCTTTGCTATTGTGGTTCTCATAAGACGACAAGAGTTACCTCCCTGTGTGTTTAGCCGGCAGATCAAATTGAATTACAAGATCGCAAGAGTTAACTCCCTTCGGTGTTATGCAGGTATAACAATTAAATGTTTTAAGGCTAACCACTGATGCTACACAAGTCCATGAAATGTCTATTTTGAAATAAAAATCACTTTTCACTGAAAGAATTAAGAATGAGCAAAATCATCGAATATTTCATTGCTAGTGTCACTTTGAAAAGGGGTAAGCGGATCCCGGATTGAAATGATCGTAAGAGCTACTAGTGAGTGATCCCTGTATGATTGTTGTATGACTCCTGTATTAAAGTACGATGTAACTAGTGTGTAACCCATGTATGCTTGCACTGGGTAACTAGTATGTGACCCCTGTATGATTGTACGATGTAACTAGTGTTACACCTGTATGATTGTACAAGGTAACTAGTGTGTGACCCCTGTATGATTGTACAAGGTAACTATTGTGTGACCCATGTATGATTGTACAAGGTAACTAGTGTGTGACCCCTGTATGATTGTACGAGGTAACTAGTGTGTTACCCGTGTATGATTGTACAAAGTTACTAGTATGTGACCTCTGTATGATTGTACGAGGTAACTAGTGTGTGACCCCTGTATAAGTGTACAAGGTAACTAGTGTGTGACCCATGTATGATTGTCAATGTAACTGGTGTGTGACCCCTGTATGATTGTACGAGGTAACTAGTATGTGGCCCCTGTATGATTGTCAATGCAACTGGTGTGTGACCCCTGTATGATTGTACAAGGTAACTAGTATGTGACCCCTGTATGATTGTACGAGGTATCTAGTATGTGACCCCTGTATGATTGTACAAGGTAACTAGTGTGTAACCCCTGTATGATTATACAAGGTAACTAGTGTGTGACCCGTGTATGATTGTACAAGGTAACTAGTATGTGGCCCCTGTATGATTGTCAATGTAACTGGTGTGTGACTCCTGTATGATTGTACAAGGTAACTAGTATGTGACCCTGTATGATTGTACGAAGTAACTAATGTGTGACCCCTGTATGATTATACAAGGTAACTAGTATGTGACCCCTGTATGATTGTACGAAGTAACTAGTGTGTGACTCCTGTATGATTGTACAAGGTAACTAGTGTGTGACCCCTGTATGATTATACAAGGTAACTTGTATGTGACCCCTGTATGATTGTACGAGGTAACTAGTATGTGACCCCTGTATGATTGTACGAGGTAACTAGTATGTGACCCCTGTATGATTGTACAAGGTAACTAGTGTGTGACCACTGTATGATTGTACGAGGTAACTAGTGTGTGACACCTGTATAAGTGTACAAAGTAACTAGTATGTGACCCCTGTATGATTGTACGAAGTAACTAGTGTGTAACCCCTGTATAGTTGTACAAGGTAACTATTGTGTGACCCATGTATGATTGTACGAGGTAACTAGTGTGTTACCCCTTTATGATCGTACAAGGTAACTAGTGTGTGACCCCTGTATGATCGTACGAGGTAACTAGTGTGTGACCCCTGTATGATTGTCAATGTATCCTGGATTTTCTATTAGAGGGGGCGCAGCTGGCGCGGAATGCATATTTTTACGAAGGGGTCCAGGGGCGACCATCCCCTCCCC